AAGAAAGCTTTTATTTTGTAATGAGGGCAAGTTTCATTTTAATGCAACAGTCCTCAAAATGCAGTCCACAACCAGCCAAATTCAAATGATCTTATTAAAAATGCATGTTCTCAGGCGCCTCCCAGACCTCCTGAATCAGAACTCAGGCAGTGCACCCAGACATCTGGATTCAACGAGTTCTCCTGGGACTGCTTTTGTCTTAGCCCAGGCTGCTACAACAAAATACCAAGACTGATGGGGGCGGGAGGGAGGATCTAAACAGCAAACTTTCGTTGCTCAGTTTTGGAGGCTGGGAAGTCCGAGATCAAGGTGCTGGCAGATCCGGTCCTCAGTGAGAGCGTTCTTCCTGGTTTGTACATGGCCGCTTTTTTGGCTGCGTTGGATCTTCATTATGGCGTGCAGGCTCCTCCTTGTGGGGCCTGGGGTGTCTCTAGTTGCAGAGCATGGAGCTTCTCTATCTGTGGAGCACGAGCTCTAGAGCATGCAGACTCAGCAGTTGCCCTGCTCAGGCTTCCCTAGTTGGGCTTAATTGCCTGGGAGGTAAGTGGGATCTTAGTTCCAGACTAGGAGTGGCACCCTCGGCCCCTGCATTGGAAGACAGATGCTTAATTACTGGACTGCCAGGGAAGTCCCAGCAGCGTTCCTGATGTATACTGACATGGCCTTTCCTAGATGCGCTCTCTCTTCCTGTTATAAGGGCATTAGATCCCATTACGGAAGGCCCTACCCTCAAGACATAGTATAAATCGAATTACCTCCCAAAGCCTTGCCTCCAAATACCATCACACTAAGGGGCTGAGGACACATTTCATTTGTAATGTGTTCGAATGCACACTTACATTTTAAGACTGGGGTTGAAAGGGATGGGGGAATCTTTTATTATTTAAAACAAACAAAAAAACTTGAAGTCAATAAAATAGTAAAGCTAGCATGTAATCAAGGTGTACAATCTGCTTGATAGAAAACACTATTCATAAAGTATCAGATGTGCATAGAAAGAGATTCCCCCATATACACATATAAAATAAATGCACAGAAACAAACAGGGATATTTCTGTTGCATTTTACAAATTGCTTTGTCTCACTCGATCTCAGTGGACCCTCCTAACTTCCCTGAGATGAAAATTAAGTCCTATTACTTCCCTGTTTAATAGGTAGAGATACAAAGTTCAGAGATGACCTAGGACAAGTCACATGGTCCCCAAGTCGCCTAAATTCTGTATTCATTTCCCTCCACCAAACTGCATTTCCTTCCTTTATTATAACAAATGAATTTCCCTGTTCTTTCACCTTGTTTCTCAAGGATTGGGGTAAATGTTATCTTCTGAAGTTCCTTGCTCATTTGTTTGTTGTCTGCAGACCTTTTCTTCATTCACAAATTAACAGCTTGTCCTCATATTAGCCAGATGGATGGCTGCACCTGGTTAATTGGAGTTGTAAGATGGATAAGTGGATTAAAGAGCACAGCGGCTGGAGTGCTCACTGCTGGCCAGACATAATTAAGAAAGGAGGAGTGAGCAAGTTCTACTGGGGCTTCAGTGAGGAAAGGGCTCAGTGGACTGATTTCCTGGAACTGCTTCAGTTGCTCAATTATGAGAGGCGCTCGCTGCCGCGTTGGGAGAACACTGCAATTCTGCTGCTGAGAGGGCACAAAATTCTGCTCTCTCCCTAAAATGTTCAGCATTTAAATCAGTGTTTCTCAGAGTGTGTCTATCAACTGCCTGTCTCAGAATCATCTGGATGTTTATTAAAAATACAGATTTCTTGACCTATCCAATGCCCACTAATTTAGGGGGTGGGGGTCGGTGGTGGGGACCAGGAATCTGTTAATAAAAGGGAAAAAGTGAAAGTGTTAGTCGACAGTCGTGTTTGACTCTTTGCAACCCCATGGACTGTAGCCTGCTAGGCTCCTCTGTCCATAGAATTCTCCAGGCAAGAACACTGGAGGGGGTAGCCATTTCCTTCTCCAGGGGATCTTCCCGACCCAGGGACTGATTCCATGTCCTCTGCAATGCTGGCAGGCTCTTTACCGTCTGAGCCACCGGGGAAGTCCATCTTCTGCTAAAGATGGGAACCACTGACCCAATGCATCCTCAAACATGTAGAATTTCTAGAATCCCCTTTAAAAGACTTCACAACCAACACTTTGGGAAAAATAACTCTGGTAGAGCCCTTGGCTGCCAAAACCTATAACAACGGAATCTCCAAATCCCCAAAGTCCTTGGCCAATCAGAGTCTATTGTCAGAATACAAGAAGGTTTTGGATGTCTCAGAAGCCTCCTGAGACACCTGTGAGAAACACACTTTCTTAGCCTCAGCCCAGAAGCTGTGAATCAGAAAGTCTGGGGATGAGGTACCCTCAGGACGAGTCTGGGGTTTGCTGAAACTGGAAGACCACTGCTCTAGATCCGTACTGCTCACCCATCAGGGCATGTATGAAGTACCTGGAGATCTTGTTAAATGCAGATTGTTTCAGTAGGTTTGGGAGCGAAAAATCTCTCAAGAGATGTTGATGCTGCTGGCTCATAAACTCTGAGTAGCAAAACTCCAGGCTATTTTTTAATCTAATGGCATGAGAGAAAATTCACGTTTAAAAAAAAAAAAAAAGAGCAGGTCCCCAGGCCTAGGTTGAAATGGTCAGTTAATCAGCACATTCCAAGCAAAGAAAGTAAAGCTGCTCACTGCTATGCACAAATCAACAGAACACTGTAAATCAATTATACCCCCAATAAAAATGAAAAACAAAAAAGAAGTGATGCTGCTAAAATACCATCAGTTGGCTTTGAGCTCTGATACCAGGGATGCATTTGTACCGACTGTCCCACAGGCCATCCTCTAAAACTGTGATAACTGTTAATAAGATCATAGGTTTTTATGTGGCTAGGAAAGGAACCCAAAAATGGATTTCCAAGGATCAGACTCTGACCCAATTTACAAACACTGTCATCAATCAGCTAATAAGCTCTGATAAATTATCCCAATTCTCTCTACAGTGACACGGTGTCATGTAAACAGCCCTGGTCAGGGACTTGGGGACTTCTAGTTCTGACTTACGTCACCTTACTGGGCCCTCACACATGCAGAGACAGTTTTAGGGTCTTGGTTTCCCAGGTGGCTCAATGGTAAAGAATCCGCCTGCCGATGCAGGAGACGCAGGTTCAATCCCTGGATCAGGAAGATTCCCTGGAGGAGGAAATGGCAATCCACACTAGTGTTCTTGCCTGGAGAATCCCATGGACAGAGGAGACTGGAAGGTTACAGTCCCTGGGGCCACAGAGTCAGACATAATTTACCGACTGAGCACACACACACACTACCCTTGAAAGTTTGTATTCTCTGACCCTTTCAGTCCAATTATTATCCTTGCTGCATTGCTTCTGCAGCTGCACACGACCGCTGCCTAGCCTTTTGCACTTGAGTTCAGTGAAAGCAGTTTGGTTCCCCTGAGTCAGCCTCTACTGCTGGTCCAGGGATCACAAACCTGAGCAACACATGTAGGATTCAGACGCTCTGTGCTTGTACTCACCTTTACCTTGGTACGTTTTCAATTATTCAACCTTGACCTTCCATCACACTCAGATTCCTAATTTGGAATATCGTCACATACAAGATTAGTTTGCCTAGCTGACAGCGGTTTACCAAGTAGCCCGCGTCCTCTGAGATATGGTATATATAAATTAGAGTGAGAATCTGCTTCTAATAGGGACCTACCAGAATAATTTGCTCAATAAAGACTTTGAATAGCTAGTAGGTTTATGGAATTTCTCTAGTGTAATTAGGAGAGGCATTGTTGTGTAATGAAGAAAATTAATTAGAACTAAGTGTTTAGGGATTGTCTGGTTAGGTAACCAAAGGCATATTTGCAGCCTAATTGTTTTTTGGCAGCTGGAGGCATTTTATACCCTTTCCGAGTGTTTAGTTAATGGATATTTTAACATGCCCCACTGTTTGCTTTTCCTTAAACTACTCCCATATTTTAAAAAAATAACAAAAAAAACCCAGTTCATCAAAGGTTTGAATGAAGTATTTATCCCATTGGACAAATGCCTTAGTTATCTGATTTATTTGATCTTACTGTCTGCCAAATGCGAATTATTTTCAGAAGAAGTCCATATTGAGACTAATTTGCATGCCCTCCTGCACCATATAAATTACAGAGTTCTGCTGTGTGCTTACAAAACACAAACACCAAAACATTTCTAATATCTTTCCAATATTTCTTCTAACCTACCCCCAAGTCACAAGCATTCTGTCTCAAGTCTCCTCTGGAACAAGACAAAGTTTTGAAAACACAGTCTGTTTTAAAATAAGATGGATGATTCTGTTAGTTGATTATTTTTCTCATATGTATAAGATTTTGAGGTCAAGCAGACATAGATTCAAATCCTGGCTCTGTCACTTACTATGTGATCTTCAGAAAATTATTTAAACTACCTAAGGCTTAGTTTCATGATCTGCAAATGAAGATAATAAGCCTGGCATTACAGGGTTGAAATGAAAATCAGACAAAAATAAATATACTTTATTAAATTAAGATATGTTTGGTTTCAGATGAGAGAAAACTGACATAAAATAACTTAAAATGACAACAAAGAGGAGAATTCTAAGTGCTAATTATTTTCAGAGGAAGTCCATATTGAGACTAATTCTAAATAACATTTATCTAGAATTATTTTATATTTCCAAATGAAATTACAAAAATATTAACTTCCATATATCCTTCAGCCAGCTTCACCAAGTATAAAATTAGCTATCATAAAATTATCAAAATCAGAAAATTAGTATTGATAAAAATATACCTTAGTTTACAAACCTGATTCAAATTTTGGTAATCATCTCTTTTCTGGCCCAGGATCTCACATTGTATTTAAGTTTCATATCTTCTTGGTCTCCACCATCTGGGAAAACCCCTCAACTTTCTTTATTCTCTTAACCTTGACAAGCTTGAAGAATGTTAACCAATTATTATATAGAGGCCTGCTTCTATTTTTGTTTTATTGCTAATTTGCCCCAGATTTGGCCATTGGGCAATCCTTCAAGTTGATTTCTGTGTCATTTTCACATACCTCTGTTATTTTGGGGGGCCCTTCCTTGCTTTCTGACACCTCTGCGTATCTCATTATTTCAGCCCTGGAATGAGTCATTTCTCCACAGAAACTTAACAGAAAGTTCAAGGCAATGAAGCTGGCTCTAAGCACAGCCAAATCAAAGGGTTCAAGGAATTTCATAAGGAATTCAAATCTGTCGCTCAAACTTTTGCCTCTGTTCTTCTTAGGCAAGTGATTATACATGGTGGCTAAGATGGCCATTGATGCTTACCCTCAGAACTGTTTGGCCTAAGAAAAACGAGAAAACTCCTGAGAGTCACTGTACAAGTCCCACGGAGAGGTCATGTTAACACAACTTAGGTCATATGTCCATCTCTGATCCAATCTCTTTGGCCAGGTATGTATCATATGACCACAGGCAGGGAGGAGAGGAGTTCATCACAATAATAAGGGCACTGCTGCTGCTAAGTCGCTTCAGTCATATCCGACTCTGTGCGACCCAATAGACAGCAGCCCACCAGGCTCCCCCGTCCCTGGGATTCTCCAGGCAAGAACACTGGAGTGGGTTGCCATTTCCTTCTCCAGTGCATGGAAGTGCAAAGTTAAAGTGAAGTCGCTCAGTTGTGTCCGACTCTTAGCGACCCCATGGACTGCAGCCTGACAGGCTTCTCCGTCCATGGGATTTTCCAGGCAAGAGTACTGGAGTGGGGTGCCATTGCCTTCTCCCAATAAGTGCACTGGAAAAATTTAAAATAAAATACAGGTAATAAATAAAGGCAATATATGTATCTGTGTGCTCAGCTGTGTCTGCCTCTTTGCAGCCCCATGGACTATAATAGCCCACCAGGCTCTGTCCATGGGATTCTCCAAGCAAGAATACTGGAATGAGTTGCCATTTCCTTGTCCAGGGAATCTTCCCGACCCAGGGATCAAACCTGCATCTCTTGCATCTCCTGCATTGGCAGGGTGTTTCTGTAGAACAAAACAAACTAACATGGATGTCAGCTTTCTTCTGACAGTCACAGTGCAAGTTCCACAGAGAAGTCATATTAGCACAACTTAGGTCATACAAGGCACTTCAGAACATCCAAAACATTGAGCATCAGCTACTGCTGTATTAAAAATATGAAAGTTGCCAGTTAGCAAAATTTGCTGAGCATCTCCTTTTTTGTTGCCTTAAAACAAGCAAACAAAAACAAGAGCAGAAACTAGAGTGAGGAAAATGAAATGAGAATGGAAAGCCAGAGTGAAAAGGCAACCCATAGAATGGTAGAAAATATTTGTAGGAAATATTTCTACCATAGAAAGTAATAGTAGAAAAGCTCGATAAGGAGTTAGGAAGACATACAAATGGCTAACAGGTATATTGAAAAGATGTTCAATGTCACTAATTATCAGGGAAATGCAAATCAAAACCACCATGAGACCATCTCATACCTGATACGATGTCCATTAGTAGAAAAAGTAAAAGGTAACAAGTGGTGAGGATGTGAAAAAATCAAAACACTGTTAACAGGAATGTAAAAGGGTACAACTGCTATGGAAAACAGTATGGAGGTTTCTCAAAAAATTAAAAATAGAATTATTGTATGATCCAGTAATCCCACTTTGGGGTATTTAGCAAAAAAAAATTGAAATCAGACAGAATTCAAAAAAAATCTGCACTCCCAGCTTCATTGAATCATCATTTACAACAGCCAAGACATGGAAACAACCCAAATATCCATCAACAGGTAATAGACAAAGAAAATGTGGTATATCATACAATGGAGTATTATTTGGTCTTTAAAAAGAAGGGAATCCTGTGGCTTCCCTGGCAGTCCAGTGGTTAAGACTTTGCCTTCCAATGCAGGGGGTGCAGAGTTGATCCCCGATCAGGGAACTAAGATCCCACATGCCTTGTGGCCAAAAAACTAAAACATAAAACAGAAGCAATATTGTAACAAATTCACTAAACTTTAAAAATAGTCCACATTTAAAAAAAAAATTTTTTTTAAAGAAGGAAATCCTGCAGTATGATACAGAAGAATCTGAAGGATTGTAAAGTATGCTAAGAAAAATATGCCAGTCATAGGACAACTACTGCACGATTTCACTTAAGGTTAACTAAAACAGTCGAGCTCACGTGATCAGAGAGTGTTAATAGAATGGTAGTGGCCAGCGGTTAAGGAGAGAGGGAAATGGGGAATTGTTAATCAATGCACACAAAGTCTCAGTTGTGCAAGATGAGTAAGTTGCAGAGATCTGCTGTACAGTAATTAACGTGACTGTATTGTATACTTCAAAATTTATTAAGAGGGTAGCTGCCATCCTAAGCATTCTTACCAAACACACACACACACACACACACACACACACACACAAGAAAACCTAAAATGAGGAAGCCAAAACCTCAGTTTCAAATGTGGGAAGAGAGGTGGGGTAGGGACTGATTACATCCATGTTATCGGGGGAGATGACAAATGAGGGTACCACTTTATTAAATATAACAGTCACTCCATACTCAGAAGACCTTTAATACTTTCTTAGTATTTGTTTGTTATGTTACTATGATGGTGATTTAATGAGAGGCTGCTTTTTTAAACAAACAAGCCAGAATACAAATTCAAGTAAGTATGTCATCCCCTTCAAGAGTCTTGAGAAATAGTCTAAGACATTTGTTTCAGTGATGTTCCAAACTGCTGTGTCTAAAGTATTCCCCCCAAGAGAATATTCTCAAAAATCAATTAAAATTCATTCAAATTCAAGATTAAGGAGAGTGATCAAGTTTGATGTACCTATTTGGCATTAAACCAGTAAGGTGATAATAGAAAATCACTGGTTTCCATTTAATGGAATCCTATAAAGCTCTTAAAAATAATGGAGCACATATAAATGTACAGCTATGAAATGACCTACAAAACACACCGTCCAGTGGAAAAAAGCAAGGAATACAACAGTATGTATGTGCTCAGTCACTCAGTTGTGTCCGATTCTTTGGGAGCCCATGGACTGTAACCCGTCAGGTTCCTCTGTCCATTTGATTTTACAGGCAACAATAGTGGAGTGGGTTGCCATTTTCTCCTCCAGGGGATCTTCCTGATCTGAGGACTGAACAACATACAAATAGCATGCTTTTAACTGTTACTTTTCAAGAAGGAGTACGTGTATGAATATATGCTCAGTCTATGCACAGCCTATCTCCAGAAGGATATCTAAATAATTGGGAGTTTTCAAGTAGCTGTTGTTCTAAAAATATTAATATGTTTGTGGCATTTTCACGTTTGATTCTTAGCTCTTACTAGATTTCATGATCCCTTAGGACAGGGCTCATGCTCTGTTCTCCCCTATATTCCCATGTGCACAGAAAGTTACACTACAAGACACTCAATAAAAGGCTGCGTATTAACATGCTCAGATGTACACCTGGTGAAGCTAAGTAAAGATGGAGGATAGAGGCAGAGTCATCAAAATGAAGATGAAAGTAATGTGAGGGCTTATTTGAAGACGTACTCAAATACAATACAATCAAGTATCCATATTCTTATCTTGTATAAATAAGTGTAACTAAAACTTGGTAAGAGCTGTGCATTCCACTGACTACTAGTTATACGTGTAACAGAAAAGATAACTTTCCATTTCATCCCCAGAAACTGGGATAAGCTTATCCTGGTTGCTTATCCTGCAACCCAGTCTTGCACACAAGACATCTGCAGTTCTGTTTGCCATTACAAAATTAATAGCCCGTGTGGTTCCCAGGAAAGGAACTTGGAAAGGGAACTTCCCACCACACAGTGTGTAGTTAGAAACAGCTGGCCCTGTGGCCAGGGAATAGGCTGATGGCCGCCGAAGCATTTTCCATGGGTCATTGCCATTCTCGGAGCACCGGACCAGCCCAACAGCTCTTCATGAAATGATACAAACACACAAGCAGGTGGGTGCTGCTCCACTTCATTTCTTCATTCAAAACATTTCCTCAAGATCATAGCCATGAGTACATGTAAAGTGAAATATAAAAGTTCCAGATTGACAGCAAGTACATCTGAGACTTCGTGACGTGATACAAGTTCAAAGACATAGTCCATGCTTACATGGATTGAAGTGTTGACAAGTCTGCCAATCTGAAAAGTCACAATGCTTGACATTACTACAAGAGGCAATGTGATAAATCACTTTCCCCATCAACATCAGAAATCAGCTGATTACAGCATTTCTGATTCATTTGCAGGTTACAGCATTAAGTAGAAAACAGTAAGGAAGACAAAAGGGTTAGCTAACACTTTAAACTTCTCCAAGGACCTACCATAGCCATGAATGTTTATAGGGGTTATTTCTGTTTTCTTTACACAAATATCCCTATTTTACTGCTGGGGAAACTAAAGCTCACAGAAGTTAGTTAACTTGTCCCAGATCAAACAGCCATTGCAATGTCAAGACTCTACATTTAGGACCTGGCCTAAAGCAACAATTAGCTCCCCCAAATCTGATGGCCAGTGAAAAGCAAAGATGAACAGCATGATCTCTGGGACCAGATCACTTGGGCATGAATCCTGATGCCATCACTTGCCATTTGTGAGACTTAACATGCCTATCACTTAGTTTTCATCCAATCCTAAAGAGGGGCAATGCCAAAGAATGTTCAAACTACTGCACAATTGCACTCATTTCACATGCAAGCCAAGTAGCTTGAAAATCCCTCAAGCTAGGCTTTAACAGTATGTAAACTGAGAACTTCCAGATGTACAAGTTGGATTTAGAAAAGGCAGAGGAACCAGAGACCAAAATGACAACATCTGTTAGATCACAGAAAAAGCTGGAGAACTCCAGAAAAACATCTACTTCTGCTTCATTGACTATGATAAAGCCTTTGACTGTGTGGATCACAACAAACTGTGGAAAATTCTTGAAGAGATGGAAATACCAGACCACCTTACCCATCTCCTGAGAAGCCTTTATGCAGGGCAAGAAGCAATGGTGAGAACTAGACATGGAACAAAGGACTGATTCAAAATTGGGAAAGGAGTATGTCAAGGTTGTATATTGTCACCCTGCTTATTTAACTTATATGCAGACTACATCATGTGAAATGCCAGGCTGGATGAATCACAAGCTAGAATCAAGACTGTGGGGAGAAATATCAATATCTTCACATATGCATGTGACATCACACTTATGGCAGAAAGTGAAAAGGAATTATTAGCCTCTTGATGAAGGTGAAAGAGGAGAGTGAAAAAGTTGGCTTAAAACTCAACATTCAAAAAACGAAGATCATGACATTCAAT